AATTATTTATATTTAAGATAGTTAATGAATGTTTCCTTCAGGTTCCAAATGCCCACATAGGAAGGCAATCCACTACACTTCCTCGGTACCTAAGCTTTGATGTTCTTTCACTCAGAATTAAATGTTAATATGTCCAGAGGGTAAGTAGTCCCTTAAACAGTCAGTAGGTCTGCATATAACAAATGAATCTGAGGAAGCCTTGCCTTGCATTTGGATTATGGACTGCCAATTTTAAAGGAGCAATCAGTCAGTGGAAGTTGCTGACAATTAAAAATGGCCAGAATAAGTTAACATACAAAGATATGCTAAAAGTCAGTTTAGGGTGACAGAGTAGGTCACCACTGGAAGGGATGTTCCTGCCTGCCTCCAAATGTTACTGCTGCAGCAGCACAAGGGTTGTTGAAAACTCTCCACAATCTACTCTGCATATCTAGTATATGTCCCTCACTTGGGTGCAAAGCTTCTGTAGTTAACAGAACTGTAGTTCTGCCAATCAATGTGGTATGTTAAGGGTAAGAGTTAAAATTAACCTTACTATCAGCTACACAGCAAGTAGTATAGAGGTCAAAGAAATAGGTTTTGTTAAAAAAAAAAAAACCACACGCCGCATACAGTAAACTTCCAATAATCCAGCACCTTTAGGACCCAGGGGGTGCTGGATTATCAGATTTGCCGGACTATCGGAAGGGGGGAGCTATGAGGGGTCTGGGGTGGGGGGGATGCCCCCCCAGACCCCTCATAGTCCCCACTTCCGATAGTCCGGCTCTGCCCCAGGCGTCCCTGATTCAGCTGCTGCTGGTCAGTTTCAACAGCAGCTGAATCTGGGACGCCTGCAGCAGAGCAACTGGAGTGCAGGAGAGCAACTGGAGTACTGCCGGGTTGGTCTGGTAGCGCTGACCCTGCCTCGGGCTTCCTGGAGTCAGCCGCTGGTCAGTTTCAGCAGCGGCTGAATCAGGGACAGTTGGGTGCTGCCGGGTAGGGTCCTGCAGCCCCGAGGGGCAGCGCTACGGGACCAACCCGGCAGCACTCCAGCTGTTCTGCCCTAGGCGTCCCCGATTCAGCCGCTGGTCAGTTTTAGCAGCGGCTGAATCGGGGAAGCTGGGGGCAGAGCAGCTCCAATGGTCCAGCTGCCCGGAGCACTTCCGGGTTCCTGATGGTGCCGAACCATCAGGAGTGCCGGACCATCAGATGCCGGACCATCAGAGTAACTGGCCAGGGGTAACTGGCTGAAAACCTATGGCATTTGTTATACAGGAGTCAAACTAGATCATCTAATGTTTCTTTCGGGCCTTAAAAATCTATGTAATTTCCACAAAGTAGTACCCGGGTCAGAAAGTAGTACTTGAGTATCTGTAGCCAGACGACCTCTGATTTTTAGTGCAGATTTTGCATTTGTAAGTCAACAGTGATAAACATTTGTAGATAGAAGTTACAATGCATAGCTTTAGGCAACATTTTTAATAGTAACTTTGCATTAAGGATACAAAATCCCATTTTAAAAGTTAACCAGTTAAACGGTATACAGGCAGTCCCCGGGTTACGTACAAGATAGGGACTGTAAGTTTGTTCTCAAGTTGAATTTGTATGTAAGTCGGAACTGGTACATATTGTAGGGGAAACTCTAGCCAAACATTTCTCCAGAGCTCAGTTTTATTCTCCCACACCTCACTTCCCTCAGTCCTTTATTCTCAAGCAGAGGTGTCTGCAGAGAAAAGCCACTCCGCGTCAACCTGGTCTGCTGGGGGGGGCGCTAGCTTCGCATCTCCCTGGTCTGCTGGGGGGAAGCAGCTAGTGTGGGGTTGCCTCACCCCATTTGTAAGTAGGGATCCGATGTAAGTCGGATCCATGTAACCCGGGGACTGCCTGTACTTCACTGGTTAACCGGAATCCCGCGATGGGGGCTGCTCCAGCCCAACTGGGCATGCTGTGCCGCATGCTGCTCTGGCCAGACCAGGCCAAGCCAAGCCCAACACATTGCACTGCAGGCTGCTCGTGCTGGGCAGGGCTCTCTGCCTGTGATGCAAGCAGGAGGCTGCTCCAGCCTGTTTGGGCCCTCCGCCGTGCAGGCTGTTCTGGCTGGGCTAGACTGAGCCCACAACACTGCGGGCAGGGGGCTGCTACATTGCACAGCAGGCTTCTCCAGCCCAGCCCAGTTGCCAATGAACCAGTTATCCTGGTAAGGCAAATACTTACCGGGTAACTGGTTAATCCTTTACATTCCTACTCTGTACTTCCACAGTGTTTCCCATCAAAGAATCTCAAAGCACATGTCAAACATTCATGCATTAAGCTTCCTAACATCCCTTCCAAGATAAAGGAAGTATTTCCTTTTATGAAGTGGAAACGGAGGCACACGGTCAGTGGCAAAGGCAGGAACAGACCTCAGCTCTCTTGCCTCTCTCTGTCTTTCCTACCTGTAAATTTGGCCACGGCATCAATATGATGTTTTACTTGTACAGCTAGTTCCCTTGTGGGAGTCAGAACCAGCCCCAAAAGAGGCCTGCTTTCATTCCAGTCAGCAGCACATTTGTTGGCACCAAAATCAAATTCTACGTTTTCCAGCACCTTCATGCAGTCTGTTATGCTAGATTCATCTACATTATTACTGAAATGCTTAGGGGTTGTTTCTTTATCACTTTCCCATCCTGGTTTGTCTTCGTCATCATAGTGAGCCTCTTTAGTAGCCTGGTCACTTCTGCTTTTTGATTCTTGCCACCGCAGCACAGAATGGATCATTGGAATTGCAAATGCGAGTGTTTTTCCACTTCCTAGATACACCAAACAACACAAACACAAGCATTACAACTGTTTGCAAAGAAGCCGCAGCAGCCAATATCAGTTACTAAAGCAAACACAAAATTGCTCTTATTTATTTCACACATTCTTGATTCTATGAAACTAGAAGCCAACCCACATCATCTTGCTTTAAATGCCTATAATAGCAACCTCACAGATACTTTCTGGATGAAGCAGGTATTTTTCCAAGCCCCAGATGGGCAAGTAGAATATATATTTGATAGGAAAGTAGTTTTTAAAAATTGCAATAGCAGCCAAAGTCTTTTTAAAGAACTGCATACCCTAAAGGACAAACCCATGCCCTAATTGACAGTGCTGATCGATGTTCTCCAAATAAAGGAATAGCAAATGAGGCCAAGGACAAACTGAAAGCTATTTAAAGGATTCATTTCTTTTTTTCATTACATGAATTTGCTTATTAACTGAGAAACTAAGAGTAACCATTATTTCACTTTTTGTAATGAAAAAGACCAATCCCTAGACTTAACACAGAGCATGAACTAAAGGGGGGAGGATGGAAAAGTACTCCACTAAACATAATTTCAGGGATCTACCGTAGATTCATTTAAGGTCTTGGGCAGCAAACTTTAACAGTATCTGATATGCAAAGGTCATCTAGGGGTCGCTTTGGCCAAACAATCTCTTTAGGGGTCAAAAGAGGTTAAACAAAACTGTTCATCTAGACTCAATTCATGTATTTTATCTAGTCACTGTCTGACTTAACCCCTTCCCTTTCCAGCTTTATGTGGACAGTCTCTATCATTTTTTGTGTGATTCATCTCTCCTACGTGGTCCTCTCTATACTGTCTGCTAGCAGCAAAGTAAAATTTAGTTAGATCCTTGTCAATTTCCCTTTTCTCCTAAGGTATCATCCTGAGGACTAGTGAATTACTATTATCTTCCTGTAGTAGGTTACTGGAGATGAGTGGTAGTTTAAAAACTGCAACCCCCTTATAACAACAAATTATGAAAGAACACCAGTTCCCTTTGTTACACTAGTTTTTTAAATCTAGAATCAGGACCAGCTTTAGAAAAGTAAGGCAATCGCTTGGAGCCCCCAAAGCTAAGTTGTTCAGGCTTTGGTTTCAGCATCTCTGCTCAGGGCTGAAGCCCTCAGTCTTCTATTCCATTAAAACGATCTCACAACCCATTTTGGAGTCATGACCAACAAATTGAGAATCATTGTTGTAGGGCAACACTGGCCCATATCACAAACACACACCAGTTTGGAACACTTCAGCACAACTTTCAGCCTCTTCTTTTCCCCCCAGAGAAACCCAGAATCAGAAAAGCAAGGACATCACTGGCACAGACTTAGGGATGTAAGCAACTCATTTTTCAGGAAGAACAGCTCTTGCGCAAGAAGGGTTTTTTGTGCAAAATCAGATAATTAATTATGAAAATGAAGCACAGCAATATGCTAATCCACACTTCATTTGCATAGGCTTTTGCATAAGAGGGAAGCTGTGTAGACATAGCCCCATTGTTTTCAAATGAATTGTATGGCTGTGTAATTAGGGCTTACTCTTTAAGAATAATTCAAAGTAAGATTTGTTGATAAGGCTGAATGGGGAAGAAGGAAGTGGAGGATTTAAAACTTTGCAGGCAGTGCTTGCAGACATAGTATGTGACACAAATCCACTACATTTAATCTTTTCCACATCATAACTATTCAGAGTACCCACACCCAAGCTAACTCATTGGATGTATTGAAGCTTATAAGCATTTATAACACTACATTTTTTTAAAAGTGAGAATAGGAGATTCAGTGTGCTGACAGCATGGATTTATACCTGTTTCTGCAGCACCAAGAACATCCATATTATCTCTGATTGCAGAAGGCAGGGCTAACGCTTGAATAGGAGTAGGAGCACTAAATCCGAGACAGCTCAAGGCCTGCAGAACTGGTTTCGGAACAAAGAGGTCTTTCCACGCAGACACATCTGCTTTTTGAGCAGATGAGGCAGACAGAACTTCCATAGTCCAATTTTTAATCTTTTTAGAGGATTTTGCTGGTAGAGGAGCTCTTTCAGGTGAAAGTACTTTCTTTTTCAGTTTCTTTTTTTTCTTTTTCTTCGGTATTTTTTCTGTAATTGTGGTATTTCCAGATTCACATTCATCTTCCTCAGAACCAAACAATATGATAGTGTCTTTAGGTTTGTCCTCTTGATCAATTACTGTTTCATCTTCCTCCACTTTAAGGTTATGATTCTTACTTGCTCTGACTCCCTGATCTTTGTCCTTCTTTCTCTTTTTTTTCTGGATGGGAGAATCTTCTTCCTCCTCTACAGAGACACTATCAGATTTTCTCTTTACTTTTTCTTTTCCAACTTTAGAAGAATTCACCAATTTATAATCTGTAAGCTCCTCAAAACACACTAAATCGCCAAGCTTCTCATCAGCAAACAGATCTGGGTCAATTTCTATGGGTTTCCATTTTCCGACTACTTTGATACCCTTTTGTTTCAATTTAAAGGAAGTCTTAAACTTATTTCCTTTTTTCCTCTTCATGATTATCTAAAAAGATTGGAAAATAAACCATTGTAAACCACCAGGACAAAACAGTGACAATCAAGTTAACATACACAAATACACTCCAATGGTTCTGGGAAATTGGATAGGCTACAGTTGTTGCATCTAAATGTGGGTTGTCTCTGGATTCTAGCCTATTAGCTTTGACTGATTTACATGGAGCTAGACAGAACCCCGTTAAAAACACTTGTAACTCTAACCTCATGCAGCTATTTGACAAGTGAATTTTAATTACCTTAAATTGCATTTGAAACAACAAGTCTGTTTAAAACAGTC